ACTAATCTGTAAATGTTTTCTACAAGGATTTAGGAGGAAACTAGAACTGCATCCTTTGTTCTAATTTATCTCAGAGGTTTTCTCTACGGGTGAGATCCTGAACTGGTCCATTGGCTCAGACTGTGCAGGCCAGTCAATCTGCTCCACACCAAACTTTATACACATGCAGCCATCGAGGCGACTGGAACACCTGGTGGTGGAACTCATTGCTAAAGGCCATAAATCATATTTAATGTATTACTGTAAAGACAACCGGCTGAACTACAAAGCATATTTAGAGGCTTACAGTTATGAGTTGCACCTCTACTTTAAAGAGTAAACTTTTTGCCCAAATATTTAATGAAAGTTTCCTTAAAGGTACAGTGGAGGATGTTAATTTTCTGGTGGATCATCAAAATAAGTGGTCCTCCTAATTGCTCGTCACCATTTCACTTATCGGTAGTCATAGTGGAAAAATTGCAAATCTTCTTTTGGAAAGTAAGCTTTTATGAGCGATGCAAACAGCAACTTTTAAAGAGAGCGTGCATGAGGTTGTGCATGTGCATTTATCTCCAAAATTCACGAAAATCCTCCACTATACCTTTAATGTTGACCTGTTCTTTGTATGGAGATGGTAGCTGTTTGCTGTAACTTTCAGTCATCACAGGAAAGAAGAAATGTGCTAAACCCTGTGACACTTCCTTTCAAGAAGCTTTGTCCAGAAACCAGGGATGTAACTCTGCAGAAACTCTGCATCTGCTGCCCCATTGGCTGGTCTGGTAGACGTGTCAAATGAAAGGCCCTCATCCAGAGCCCTAAAATCTGCATACATCTAATTCCTCAAACAGCTTGAATTCTGGGTGTGAGCTGCACAACGTTCCAAATGTGTGGATGCACTGTGCATGCATTCAAAGCGATACACAGCAGTTAAACTCAGTTCAGTGTAAACTAGCATGTAGCTTTGATGTGATGCATACAGATTGCAAAATCAGATAATGTAGATTTTAAACATCTCCAGTATTAAAGCAGAAACTTTATACTTTCATTATCTTATAAATGATGCAACAAGGCTGGGAAGAAAATTTAGATACTTCTATATTTAAGTATATGTATAAAACAATATTTTAATCTTTGAACAAAGGACTAAATGAGATTAACTGAGTTTATGCCATTTAGTTCTCAAAGTGTAACCTATCGGTGTGTTACCGTTTCCTGTCACTTCCTTTGAATGGAAAAGTGATTTTTAAATTATGTGTCCTTATCTTAAAATCTCACTCATCAGTTTAAACAGTGGAGAATTTGCCAAATAGCATCAAAGTAAAAAGAAAATAAGCATTCTGGATTACGAACATGTTAACAAAGCACTTCTGACACAAATTCAGCTCGTTTTTTTTACTGTATTTTATGGCCACAAGTTCAAAGTTTTTATCCCTTTGTGGTGAAAATCACCTGTGATGTTTACTACTAAAAGGTTTTACCAACTTTATTTTCCTTTATTGGCTTCCAGCTACCAGCCAAATCTACCATGGAAGGGTCACATGAGCTCAGACATTTTGAAGCAAGATCCTTGGTTTATATTATGGCCTGGAGATCTTTCTTTATATAGTTTCCATGTTCTCTCCATGTATGCATTGCGCTCTCCATTATTCTTACACATGACTTTGCTTGTGCATGGTTATCTCTCCTGTTTGATTCTGTGTTTCTGCTAATGAACTGTTGGCCCATGTGAGGTCTTACCATTGTCTCATCCATTGACTCCCTGAGGCACCAGCATTGACATGTAGTTATACAAGGAATGGATGGATTTTCAAACAAAATGATTGCTTCATTCAAAAAAAAAAAACTTAAAGCAATGAAACAATCATTTGATCAATAAAATTAAAGTTGACACATTGACTGTAAATTAGAAGACATTTAAGGAAGTAGAAATGCGTTTCTAGAGTAACAGATATCGATCTGTAGTAAAAAAAAAAAAAAAAATTTCCTATGGTAATAAAATGCTTTACATTCAATTATATAAATAATTTCCTAATTATTTGTTTTTTGGAATACAAACACCTCTTTATTATTAAGTTCATAAACCTTATTCCATAACAGGTTTTCTGTAGATCTTCAGATATATCAGGCCATGAAGAAGGGATCCATTTCTCAGCTATCTATGTCATGCTTTTGGTTCTGTTTTCTTTTCTATTTGGGTTGT